TTGGCACCGCCCAACATCCCGCGGCCCCGCGCGCCCCCGACCCGCGCGCTGCGGCCTAGCTCTTCCCTGGGTTGCTGTCCCCGAGGTTCGACCTTTGTTTCCGCAGTGCCCGCCGGCCGGCCGCGCCTCTGTCGGTGCTCTCACTGCTGCCCCGTCCTTCTCGTTTTCCCTCGTTTGTCGCGTCCTCTTCCAAGTTCCCAGGGGCCTTCTTGCTGTGCCCTCGCCCCTCTGAACGCCCACCGACTCTGCCTTCTCGGCTTCCCTCGGTTCAGCTTGGGTATCCTGTATGGCGCTGCTTTTTCATTCAATGCAAAAGCCTTTTCAGGGCAATGTTATTTTCATGACACACACCCCTTTCGTGAAATCACGGTTTCTAAATCTCTTCAAGTGACTCAGTAATCAGAAGGTCCCAAGACCGAAGTAAAAAGGAACGTTGAGGCTGAGGAGGAATTGTCTTTTGCCTGGGGAAGCTATGCAGGCACTGGTGTGTTTCCATGTATTACTGTTCCTTCTGCCTGCCTTGGTCTTGGCCTGCCTGAGCTCGTCCACGTTCCCAGCTTGCCACCTGTGTTAGCAAAAGGGAAAGAAACTGATGAAGCATCTATTTAGGACTTAATAAAATCACATTTTCCTGTTCTTTTTTTCTGTACAGGTTGATGAATGAACTTTGCTATAGGTGTGGGGGTGTGCACGCGCGTGTGCGTACATGTAAGATATTATGTGACTTCCTAGGAGATATAAACACATCTGTTCACATCAGATAGAGCACCAACAATTTTACCGGAGCCTATTCTATGAGCCAGTAGATTCATTGGGGTTACTTCTAGGACTGTTAAAGGCAGTTGCACCACAAAAAAAATAAAAAATAAAAAAATAAATAAAAAATAAAAAAAATACCACCACTCCACCAGCATGGGTGAGGGCAGTGGATTACTGACCTCCACCAGTGGGCCATTTAGAGTTGTTATTGCTTCTAAAACCTTGAAGAGGGGTATTGTGAATCTTGTTTGTTTTAGAAACGTTTTGAAATTTCTGAGTGCTTACCTTCTGAATCTTAACAGCTAGTGTGCTCTTGCACAGGTGTGCGCGTGGGGACCAGAGGGCAACTGTGGGCAGCATTCTTCCCCAAGTGCCGACAACTTCACCCGCTGTTTGAAGACAAGAGCCTCTCAATAGCCTTGGCTTGCTGAGTAGGCCAAGCACGTTTGGTGAGTGAACATCCCACCTTCATTCTTCTCAGCATTATGGTTACAAGTTCACACCACCAAAACTCAGTCTTCTTATGTGAGTCCTAGGGGTTTGTTGTATAGCAATCTCCTCTCAAGTTTAAGCCTTCCATCTTGGAGGAAAACTCTCTAAAACATAAGATATGAAATGGGAGTTGGAAAAGGTTGTTTTAAGGCAGGATATTCAAAGGGAAGGTAAAACATTTTATCCTACAGAGAAGCTTCATAAGACAGGAAGTAGATAACTCAAAATAGCTGCAAAAAGTCCCAAAACTGACCAGATTCACTAGGCCCCTCCCTCTCCAAATATATACAACAAAGATTGTAGTTTGTAGACTTATCTTATCAAGAGAGTCCAGCACTCTAAGACCAACCGAGCAGCCTGCAGGAGGCTCAGACCCACTGAGCCACTTACCTGGAAAGGCCACTACATCCTGTACAGCTGCTGCAGGGTGTGCACTATGCTCCATGTTTTTAGCTTTTGTGAGCTGTCACCCATGCTGAGATAGGCTTTCGGATGTAGCTGTCTGTAAGTCATTTCTGCTCCTATGAGAAAGTCCCTACCCATATTCCTGTAAGCAACCCTAATAAAACTCACTGGTTCACCAAGTTGGACTTTGGTAGTATCTGTACTGTAGTCTGTTGTTGGTGCCTTTCCAGAGTGAGTAGATACTTGTTTATATCTTCTCGGGAAATGTCTGTCACACAATAGGGTTGAGCTCAGGTTCTTTTGCTTCCAAGGCACTTTTTACCCACTGGGCCATATCTCCACGGGCCCATTTTGGTTTTGTTTTTGTTTTGTTTTGAGATAATGTTTTCACTAAATATCTTAGTCTGGGCTCAGTCTCTGAGCCATCACTACCTCAGTTTCCCAAGTGCTGGGTATGCTGGTATATTAGGGTTTTTAGAGGAACAGAGCTTATAAAATGAATCTATCTCTCTATCATCTATCTATGTAGATATCTATGTAGATCATGTAGATATCTATGTAGACCATGTAGATATTTACATACATAGATGATAGATAGATATCTACATAGATAGATACCTACCAAGATAGTGAAAGATAGATAGATAGGTAGGTAGAGAGAGAGAGAGAGAGAGAAAGAGAGAGAGAGAGAGAGAGAGAGAGAGAGAGAGAGGGAGAGAGAAATGGATTTATTTAGAATGTCTTGCAGTCTGTGGTCCAATGTAAAGCAGACACAGGAGGCAAGCTTCCTTCTTTCATGTCCTTTATATTGGCTGCCACCGGAAGATGTGGCCCAGGTAAAGGTGGATCTTCCCACCTCAAAAGATCCAGATTAAAAGTAGGTATCCCACTGCAAATGATTAAGAAAATTTTTTCATAGATGTGCCCAGCAGTTCAGGTTTTAGTTAACTTCAAATCTAGTCAAGTTGACAACTAAGAGTAGCCACTGCAGTCTACCCCTTGCCAATCACATCTCTCTAAGTCAACCAGGTCATAATACATCTAATATGAGAAAACTGTCCCATGTGCACTTGCAAATGTATTATATGTTTAAACCAGATCATAATAATACCTAACATGATATAACTATCCCTTGTACAACCACAAACACATTATAAACTTTAGAATAGATGCCATTGTCCCTTGAGGGATATCTTTTAGAATCTCAAACTTAAATATGATAATCACAGATACTCTCTTAATTGATGTTATACCACATAATAAAGAAGTTATGGAAAGAAAACACAGATAAATCTGTACAAACAAATGCTTAACAAAATATGGCAGAAATAGTCCTGTCAATTATAAACTTTGTTTTTGCAACTAGTCGCATGGCTTTAGGTGGTATTTATAAACCACCTTCCTCTGCTACCTATTCTGTATTTCCTCCACCCTCAGCAAGTACCTCAGCAAGTCTCGGCTATTGTAGAATAATCTTTTTGTACACTGTAAAGGTGTGTTGCTCTCATTGGTTTAATAAAGGGTTAAATGGTCAATAGCTAGGCAGGAAGAGGTTGGGGGGACTTGTGCATAAGCTAGGATGAAGAAAGGCAGAGTCTCCAGGAGACATGGGAGAAGCAAGATGAACATAGTGTGCTGAGGAAAGGTACCAAACCATGTGGTGAAACATAGATGAGAAATAAGGGTTAATTTATATTGTAAGAGCTAGTTAGTAACAAGCCGAAGCTATTGGCCAAGTATTTATAATTAGTAATGAGTCTCTGTGTGGTTATTTGGGAGCTGACTAAGCAAGACAGAAAAATCTGCCTACACTTGGCTCTGTTCCTGGAGGAATGACTGCTCTTGTACACCCTAAAGATTTTTCACTTGAATTGGTTCAGTATAAAATGCTGATTGGCCAGTAGCCAGGCAGGAAGTATAGGCAGGCAACCAAACTAAGAATGATGGGAAGGAGAAGGACAGAGTCAGAGAATAGTCGGTAGACACAGAGAGAGCCAGATGAGCACACCATACTGAGAAAAGCCACATGGTAAAGTATAGATAGAAATATGGGTTAATTTAAGTGAACGAGTTCGCTAGTAACAAGCCTGAGGTATCAGCCAAAAATTTATAATTAATATAAGCCTCTGAGTCAGTTATCCAAGAGTGGTTGTGGGACAGGAAGTGTCTGCTTACAAATACCTTCATTCCTGTAGGGTCTGTGCCCTTTGACATCCTGCCTGGATTAAGCTGTAGTTTCCAGTTGATTTTAATTACTAGACATGCTAGCACAAGAGGTGCCCTAAAGGATCTCCTACATTGCACACATAATCGTTCTTGAAGCAATCAAATATCTCTTTGATAATCTGGCTCAATCATCTTTCCTAACACTTTTTTCCCTTTATTAACTTCTTGTCTTATTGGTATAAGAAGCCCAAAGTGTCCAGGAGGCAATCTGAGCTTCCAGTTTAATAATGTTTGCTGTGGCTCCTGGCAGGAGCACTCCCTCCTATGGGATCAAATTTTTTGACCAACAGAACTTAAAATCATGGGAACAGGAAGCAAAAGTTTTCCTAGTAGGTCATTGGGTATGATAGGGAATGAAATTATTCCCTTTTCCAACCCTTTATTCCTGAACCCATGGATCCTGGCTACGGAAGAAAACATACCATATGTGGTAGTTTGAATGTAATTGACCCTCATAAGCTCATAAGGAGTGGCATTATTATGATGTGTGGCTTTGTTGGAGTAGATGCCTTGTTGAAGAAAGTGTGTCACTGTTGGGGTGGGCTTTGAGGTCTTCTTTGCTCAAGCTATGTTCAGTGTGACAGTGAGTCTCCTTCCTGTTGTCTGCAGATCAAGATGTAGAACTCTCAGCTTCTCTGGAGCCATGCCTGCTTGCATGCTGCCTTGCTTTCTGCCATGAGGATAATGAACTAAATCTCTGAATTATAAGTGAAACTCCATTAAATGCTTTCCTTTGTAAGAGTTTCTGTGGTCATGGTGTCTCTTCACAGCAAAAAGAACCCTAACTATCACACCAAAATATTAGATACATGCAAATACCAGATATACTTCCTTTTGAAAAGCTCTGCCCCAACTCCCCAGGCGGTTGCCACTGTAACTGTGTCTTAAAAAGGCCATTCCATATTTTTATCAGGCCAGCTGTTTCAGGGTGGTGGGGAACATGTAAGACCAGAATTCCATGATCATGGGCCCACTGTTACACTTTTCTGGGTGAAGTGAGTTCCTTGGTTAGAAACAATACTGTATGGAATACCATGACAATGGATAAGGCATTCTGTAAGTCCACAGATGGTGGATTTGGAAAAAAACATTATGTGTAAGAAAGGCAAATCCATAACTAGAATAAGTATCTACTCTAGTGAGGACAAAGCATCGTCCTTCCCATGGAGGAAGTGGTCCAATGTAGTTAGCCTGCCACTAGATTGCTGATTAGTCATCCCAGGAAATAGTGCATATCTGGGGCTCAATGTTTGTCTCTGCTGTTGGCCGATCTGATGCTTAGCAGTAGCTGTAGCCATGTTAGCTTTGGTGATCGGAAGTCCATGTTGTCAAACCCATGCATAACCTCCATTTCTGCCACCATGACCATTTTGTTCATGGGCCCATTGGGCAATGACAGGATGGCTAGGAAACGATACTGACTATCTACACAGTGGATCAACCTATCCACTTGATTATTGAACTTTTCGGTCGAAGTCACCTTTTGATGAGCATTTACATGGGGCACTAATATCTTCACATACTTTGCTCATTTGGAGAGGTCTATCCACAAACCTCTTTCTCACCAATTTTCCAATCAGTCTCTGTCCAAGTCCCTGACCATCAAGCCAATCCATTCACTACAGCCCATGAATCAGTGAATAATTGCACATCTGGCCATTTCTCCTTCCAAACAAGTGTATGACAATATGTACTGCCTGAAGTTCTGCCAACTGTGAAGATTTCCCTTTGCCAGTGCCTTTCAGGGTTGTCCCAGAAAATGGTTGTAATGTTGTAGCAGTCCACTTCTGAGTGGTGCCTGTATAATGTGTAGAGCCTTTTCTACATGGTAAACCAGGCCCTAGGCTTCTTTTCCTCAGCCAGTCAATCACAGGGCACATCCCATGAGGCTGTAGGTTCATGCTTGGCAGCAGATGGCATTGTAATGTGAGTAGAAACCCTAGATATTTGGGTAACTACTTCATGTAACTTCCTTGTACATTGGGGCCAATCACATCTGTACCACTTCCATTTGATAATAGTTTGCTGCTCTGCACATCCTACTTTATGGCTTATACCACCAAGCTCATGATGGGCAGCTTAGCTCTTTTGGTAAATTGGTATGTAGAAGCTAATTCGATTTGGAAAATAACCAGGCTAGCTAAAAGATAAACAATTATATTTTTATTTACTATAAGGGGAAAACTCATGAAACCAGAACAAGAAGTCCAAACTCAGCTGTGCAGCAAAGGACAGCTGTGTGGTGAGGGAACCATAGAAAAAGGGGGGGGGGGCACCTGGGCCATGTGCCTGTTTTCCTCCAGGTACCAGAAAGCCACACCCTAACTTGGTCCTACCTCTTAAAGACGATTGGTTAACAAGGCTTCCCCATCACCTCTCTCTTTTGTCTAAACAAGAGTGACAATATTAAGCAAGGAACACACGACAAACGTTTTAATAAACATTCTATTCCAAAGAGTCTATGTCTTGCATCGGAAATAATCTTGGCTAAATCATAAGAGGAAGGTAACTATGGCTATCTAATCTTCAACCCCATCAAAAGCCTGAGAAGGGAGGTAATATTACTTGAGTAGTCAGGAAGTCCAATCAAGTAGCTTACAAAGTGAGCAATATATGACGGAGACAATTAGCTACCTGAGCAATCACCCAACGTTGAAGCAACCAACTTTGGCTAAGGCCTGGCATAACTGACAGATTATTTTCAGAGGCAGGTTATTTTTCAGAACTGTCTTATCCTGTCTTGGCAAGGTTTGGCAGTCTTTTTCCTTGTGTCCTGCTTATCCAGTCCTGACACCATGTACTTTGTCAGTGGTTGAGGCATGGGCAGTCCCATGTCCAAAGGCCAATTGTGTCAAGAAAACAAACTCCAAGTGAGTGTCTTTGGTGCTCAACATTCTCTCGGGAATAGATTGGTGCTGACAGGAGCAATCATGTCTCATGTCAACAGAACCCTAAATTACTTAAATGCCATGTTCTACAGATCCTTGAAGTGGTTGAAGATTACGTATCTAGGCAGAATACTATAACTGACTGACATGTAGGATTATTTGGTATACCTGTAATATGCTTTATATTATAATAAGCAAAAAATCATTTCATTTTCTTAGATATATGTGCTGGACCATTGTCTGTCTTTATTTGTGCAGTAATACCCATAATGGCCATAACTTCTAATAAATGCATGATTACTGAGTCAGCCTTTTCCAAGCTCAAGGCAGTTGCCCATTGAAAACCTGAATACGTGTCTATGGTGTGGTGCACATATTTTAATTTTCTAAATTCTGTAAAGTGGAACACATCCATCTGCCAGATCTCATTCCTGTAGGTTACTCCCTGCAGGCAATGGTGTTTGGTTATAGAAAGAGCAAGTAGGACATCTCTTTATAATCTCCTTAGCTTGTTGCCATGTAATAGGAAACTCTTTCTTTAAACCTCTGCTATTGACTTGATTTTTTAATGAAATTCTGAGGCCTGCAACATGCTTTGAATCAATAATTGGTCAATTTCTGCATTACCTTGTGCTTGAGGACCTGGCAGACCTGTATGAGATCGGATTGTGTTATGTATATAGGACAAAACCTATTTCTGATTATGTCTTATACCTGAATGAATAATGAAGTCAATTCTGTATCATCTGGTATAAATTCAGTGGTTTCCATATGCAAGATAATTCTTTCTGCATATTGTGAATCATTAACTATATTGAGAAGTTCTTTAAAATCCCTTAGTACCACAAGAATAGCATATAATTTTGTCCAAAAGACAGAATTATAAGAGCTTTTTCCACCTTACTTAATTTTTCTGATTTGTAACCTGCCTTTCTTGATTTATTTGCATCAGTATAAAATGTATGGGCTCCAGTTATTGGTGCATCACGTACAATTCTGGGAAGATTCCAAGAAGTTCTCTTTATAAGGTTAAGTCTATTGCTTTTGGGATAATTGCTATTAATTTCTCCCCAAAAAATTAGCACAAGCTCTCTGCCATGGTTCATTGTCTTCCCATAACTTTTTTATTTCATCAGTAGTAAAAGGCACTATAATCTCTCCTGGGTCTATACCTGCTAATCGATGAAGTTTCAATTTACCTTTTATAATTAATTCAGAGACTTTTTCCACATAAGTTTTTAATTTTTTACTTGGTTTGTGTGGTAAAGAGATCTATTCTAAGATAACATCCCCCCCCCACATTAAAATTCCTGTGGGAGAAATTCTGGAAGGCAATATGGCTAGAATATAATTAAGATTTGGATTCACCCTATCCACATGTGCCTTCTGTATTTTTTCCTCAACAATTGTCAATTTCTTTTCTACTTCAGCTGTTGATTCTCTGGGACTATTCAAGTCTTTATCATCATCTGAGGTTCTATTTAAATGAACTATTAGATCAGGTGTTATCCCTAACAATCATTGAAAGTCATTAGGAGTTCGCAACTGGTTTCTCCTAATTTGTGCTGTTTGTGTTCTAATTTTCTGTAAACCTATTTTGTAACCTAGGTAATTAACAGAATCTCCTCTCTGAATCTTATCAGGAGCAGTTTGTAATTCCCATTTAGGCAAAATTTTCTTTACTTCTTCAAACATTCCTTCTAACGTATCTGCATTTGAATCAAATAACAAAATGTCATTCATGTAATGGTAGACTTAGGAAATTGCTATGTATTATTTCCAATGGCTGATTGACAAAGTATTGGCACAGGGTGGGGGGCTATTGAGCATCCCCTGTGGGAGGATGGTCCATTGATATCTCCTATTACGCTGAGAATTATCATAACTAGGCACTGTAAAGGCAAATTTTTCTCTATTCTTTTCTTGTAAAGGTATAGTGAAGAAACAATCATTTAAATCAATAACTGAGAGGCCATCCCTTTGGTAATAGAGAAAGCAGAGGAATTCCAGATTGTAGAAGGCCCATAAATGGAATAACCTTGTTGATAGCTCTAAGATCTGTCACCATTCTCCATTTTCCAGATTTCTTTTTAACAACAAATATAGGCGAATTCCAAGAGCTTGTAGATTCTTCAATATGGTGAGCATCTAGTTGCTCTTGTGCCAGCTGTTCTAAAGCCTACAGCTTTTCTTCTGTTAGAGGCCACTGTTTAACCCATATTGGTTTCTCAGTTAATCATTTTAAAAGCAGGGTCATTGGTACCTCTGAAGATTTGTCAATTGCTTTGTGTTCTTGTACAGTCTGAATGGCTGGTGACCTTTGTCTATAATATCTTCCCCAGAAACATAAGTTTTGGGGGCTGCAAGAATGTTAATCTGGGTATTCCATTGCTGCAATAGGTCACAATCCCACAAATTCACTGCACTATTAGCTACATATGGCCTCAGCTTCCCTCTCTACCCTTCTGACCCTATGCATCCAACTCATCTCATGCTTTGTTTCACTTGAAATAGTGTTCCAATTCCAAGGAACCGAACCTCTTGAACCTCTTGAAGAGGCCAATTTGGTGCCAAGATTCTGGGATAATGAATCCGCACTTGTGTCTAGTAAGCCTTCAATAAAAATGCCATTTATGCAAACTCTTAACTTTGGTCTTTGATCATTTATAGAAGTCTGCTAGAATATACATTTCCTATGTCCTACTGGAGCGTTTGATCAATTTTCCACATTTATTCCATCATCCAGACCAGTATGGATTTTTA